TATGGAATTCTAACCTTTTTTTAAGAATTTTTTCGCCTTCTGTACCCAACCTAATGTCCTGCAGTAAGATTATTTCTGCCTTCTTGTCTAATATGGATTCTAACTTCTGGTCAAATCTGTTTAAATTGTTGCTTAATTGAAAACGCGTTGATAAGTTCAAAGAATTAACGTTCTGTGATAAAAACCGTATGCCGTTTAGATCGTTAAATGTCGACATTATTGTTTATTATGAGTACCGTAATTGATATAATTGAAAAAAATGAGCGCTTATAAGCTTTAACGCATTTAAAGAAGATAAGGTTTAAAAGATCAAGTGTATTTTTATAAGGTTTTTGAAGGTAAATAATGAGGACGTTTGATTTAATTAACATTAATTCATGGCTTATTGTTAATATTCGTTTAAAAATTCCTAGTTTAAATTTTTTATAAAATGAAAATGTGCTAAGTGGATGCTTGCATACAAATTTCAAACTTAATAGAATCGGAAGGTTTAAAGAGAAACAAGATATCTGTTCCCCGTTAGCTTTTTGAAATGATAAGAAATTTAGACGATTAGAAATTTTACAAGTTTTAAAATATGTTGAGATAAATATACTATCAAGTCTGATTAAAAATCGACCGTGTTCGAATACAGTTTCACTGATACTAAGATATATTTTTAAACTTGTTTCAGTTTGTGCCGTGGCAGAACTGGTTCCTGAAGTGTGCAGTACATACATGTTCCCATAATATTTCAGCGTACACATTGAATATACATAAGAAAGTGTCCCCTGATGTGTGGCCGAACCTGATGGTATTGGCGCAGGCGCAAATTGATATTGAACATTCATAATCCAGAGGAGGTCAAAAAACATGAGATGGGCAGATGGATTTATAGCTTGGACTTTTATCTTACATGATACGTTGATAAATTTGAATAAAAATTTACTTCCCAAATTGAAAAATATAATATTAACCATTTTTTCTTGATTTATTAACCGAAAAGTAGTCTTAAAATCAATCATTAAGAAATTTAAGATAGTGGATGGGTATTTTTTCTTGTAGAGGATTTTGTAATCATCAATATTTATTTTGTCTAGGAATAAAGTATTGAGCATTACCTTTGAATATTGAATTTTTTTTTGGTAATTTTTGAAAATAATTTTTTTATTTATTCGAGACGCAATAAAATTGAAAAGAATAATTGGAGTATCATAAGAAATAATACTTTTAATCCTTAAATCATAAAATGTTTGTAACATTATGCCTGTGTTTCTTCGAGTCCCTCATATCTATTCTTGGTTGGTGTGGTAGCTCGCAGTGTTCCGGGTTGTGGTACTGATGGTGCACCATTCTTAGCTGGTTGAAAAGAGTTGCTTAGAGGGTCAATATTATTGCTAGGAATGTTTTTAGAGTATTCTTTGGCGTCAAGGAAATCAAACGAGACATCATCAAAATTAGATTTGCAAGGCTGTCTTTTTTGACCAAACTTATCAATGTCTGATGGGTTTAGGGGAAAGCTCAAGGTTTCAACATATTCCCATCTATCACTTGAAGTTGGGCGGGAGGATATTACAAGTTTATTGTTAGATGCAGAGGGACGAATTAAAATTTGAGAACCTTTAAATTTGTTAGATTTATTGTACCCCGTCCTGATTTCCTTGATGTGAGAGTATAGATAAGAGGGCCATTCCACAACTACCTTTTTAGAGGCAGCTCTGAGAGCTTTCTCAATCGAGATCTTTTTATCTTTATCGGCGCAAATAATCCCCACGGGTGTGTTACCTTCGCGTATCGATTTTGTATTGATTGTAATCGAACTGCCAATTAGGTGTTCCGGTGCGACATTCAGTTTATTTTTTAAGGTTTTTTTAACGTTTTCCCTAGCCGTGTTAGTGTTTTCAATTTTACCACCAATTAGAGAATCCTCCACGGGCATATCAAGAATTTTAACTGTACGTTGTGATTTTTCCATTTCTTTTTTAAGTTTCTCGCAATGCTGAGCATATTTCATTGTTTGGTTAGATTCTCTAATTTCTCGGTTTTCATTTACAACACGGTCGACAGTGCCAAAATCCTCGAAAACTACGTGGCTTAAGAAGACAACGATTTGATAAAGTGCGTTAAAGGTTTCTCGGTTCGGTGGTGGTGCATTTTCGTCGGTTCTCATAAACTTCGTTGCGAGAATTAGATCGAGGTTTGGGGGGGTTCAAAACGGTGACATCGTCACCTAAACGCATGTTTTTCCCAAGGGGGCTTATTTTTTCGCCCTCTTTTTCAAGGGGACGTTTTTTGCTGTTATCGTTTGTTTGAGAGTTCGTGATCGGAGTCGGTTCAGTCGGTGTCCTGGTTTCGTTCGGGTTTCCAAGTCCATTATTGGAAGCGCTTAAGATCCCCAGTGCAGGAGTTAAAAAGCTAAGAATAGAAAGTTGTGACGCCCCAGCTTTTGGGGGGTCTTTTTTTTTGAAATCATTCTTTCTCGTCATTCTTTCCTATCGAAAAAGGAATAGAATATAGGGAGAAAAAGAATTGGATGTAAGGAATAATAAGATGTTGTTTATGAAGGGTGTTTATAAGTACGGGTGTACTTACTTGATTTGCTGAGATTTGCAGTACTGTGTACACACTAACACTACAAAGCTGGAGCTAGTTCACTAGGTGTTTCTCGCTTGAGATACTGATGTGAACTGAAAGATCTTGAGAAATACCGCACGGTACATATAAAGAGTTCCTCAGGTCTTTAGGAAAATCGCTAAGTAGCGAAACAGGGATGTTCTGAATGAGATGATTAAGATATATGAAAATAAGGATGGATTGTTTAAGGGATGATACATATTAATGAGAATAAAGGATTTTTGAAGGTATGATGGAAATGAGATGATTGGAAGAAAGGAAAATAAGAAAGGATTGTTAATAGATGATATAAATGAGTTGATTGGAAGAAAGGAAAATAAGAAAGGATTGTTTAAGGGATGATGTAAATGAGATGATAGGAAGAAAGGAAAAGAAGAAAGGAAAAACTCACCTTGAATCTTTATCCAGGAAAATTTGACGTAAATAACAATTGAAAGAAGGTTACAGTTTTTCTCAAAAAATATCCCTCTTAACAAACATCATTGTTTTATGGTCTTAAAGTACATATTCTATTTTTAGGTAATTATAACAAATTGAGTAACATATCGGTTTTCTTCTTATTCCAGATCAAACTCCGTACAAGTCACACAGAACTTTTTCTATAGCGGTTAAGAACACAAAACCTTACAATCTTTAAAAGATTAAGAGTGGAATCTACCCTTCAGAAGGTACACAGAATTTGGCATTACACACTGGAAAAACAATTATGAATCAAGAATTCCATGAATTAATTGATCAGTAAAAATCGTTTCATAATTGTAAAGTTATACATATAACTTCTAAAACTTTAAAAGTTTTTAATAGTTTTCTTTATTAAGTTCTTAACAGCTTTAAGAAAGGTTCTGCAAGACACTTAATGTCACAGAGTAATGATTGGAAAAGATTGAAAAGTCTAGTAAAATATCTATTCCACAGTTTTAATGTATCAAAAAAGAAAGAAAAAACCTGACATACATATTGATAGGAGATTATTAACTTGTACACAAATTATATACTATAAGGGTACGGGAGCTCTGCAAAGAATATAATATTCTTTTTAAACTGAACACTGTTGTAAACAGGTAAATATATAATGTAATTCTACATGTAAATGTTATAATATGCAGTACAATCTTTTTATTTTCATTGTTGTATTGTATGGTACAAACAGGGTGTCCCACAAAACATGACAGTTGAGAGACGACTTAAATATCGTCTTTGACCTTTGCAATAATTTGTGACATTTATTCTTATACTAGAAGCAAACCTCTCAATAAAAAAAAACACAAAATACCCCTGGTACTGGCATTTCCAAAATGTGGTCTGTCATAAAAGTAAAAGTAGGTTGACGAATCAATGCCGAATATTTTTTTCTAAGATCAAAAACGATATTATTATTCAAGATTTTTCTCTTCACTATTATGTTTCGTGGGACATTCTGTACCAAGGTATGAATACTTAAGGTAGGGGTTCAGGTTTGTGCAAAATGCCCAGGAATGGGTTGAAGGTTAATAAACAGTAGTTGGTAAATAAGGCAGGCCCTCCAGAAAAGTTTCAACATTTGTTTACAAACCTTGATTTTGTTCTGACAAAACCTATGCCAAATGTCCAATATGTCAATTGAGTAAATGTACATTAACATAAGCAGTAATTATGACGTTGCCGTTTTCTTTGTTTTTCCACCTTAAATGTACTATTTTCAATCATGGTTCTACTTGCAGATTTATGCATCAGTGACAACGAAGGAAATTTGTAGAATTAATACTTTTTTAAAGAAAAAACGACGATATCTTCCATATTGATAATCAGATAAAGAGAGAAAGAATACCATAGTATGGGAACGATTTAATTTGATCGTCACAGTATGTCATGTTGACAGTCAATCTCTTAATAAAAGTATTGTTTAGTTATAATTGGGAGGAAAATATGGTTGATCAAATAAGAGAACTCAACCCTGCCAGGTAAATTCATTTTTTTTCAGCTGTTTTTGGCTTGGTGAATTATTATTTCAGTATTAAATTCGCTTAAATAATAACAAAAGGGAAAAGAATTGAAAATTCCTTGCTTAAAAATGAATACGAAAAAAGTACGGAAATTATTTTGATTTTTACATGGCACTATTTATAAGATTCGGCCCGCAAATCCTTAATTTAAGAATTCCCCGTCATAAGTGGTAGGCGATTATATCAATACAATGAAGACGACTTTTTTATTTTTGTTTTGATTAATAACAAGCTTTTTACAGCTTCTATTGAATTATATATATTTATGTGTTTCCATGCTGTTAAACAGATTTCATATAATCAAAATTGAAATCCAAATTATTAATCATGAATTTTAAAGTGATCCTGGTAAAGCCTAATATTATTTCTGCTGTAGGTGGAAAGTATTTCAGTGTTTACCAATCGAGGCAGAAAACATGGGCCCAGGTAAAGTTTTTTTGGACAACTTCAAATGTAGGATTTGTAAATTTTGTGACTTTTTCTAAATATTTAGGCGATTTAGACTTACATATATTTGAATGATAAATTGCTATGTAAAAATTAATACCAGAACCATAAATTTCTGTGTTTTGAGACCTATCAGACATAAATCATTTTACATTAAATAAACCTTTCAGAGCAGACACTTATTTCTTACTTGTATATAAATAGCTCACTAGAAAAATCTATTATTTTCATTAAATATTAAAAAAAGGCTGTTAGCATAAAGTTAAAATTTAGGAGCGCTTCGCAAAGTTGAAAAGTTTCTGATCTCTGGAGAACAGTGGAACATGTTTTTAGAACGGTAACTAAACATTAAATCCGATGATGCTTTACTTCAACATATTTGCAACACCACACTGTTCAAATTCATTCTTCATTAAACTCAACTAGGTTTTTTTTAAATTCTTGTAATCATGTTTTTGTTGTTGATCTCAACTGCAAAAAGTCGTGCATTTTTCTAAAGATTTTCCTTTGTTCCAAAAAGGATTCGCAACAGCACCATAATATTTTTGTAATAAAAAATGTGGACATTTTTCCGACCTGAAAAGTGCATAATTTAGACAATTTTCTCCAATTTTTTCACGAGTGACTTTTATAGAGAAACCGCAATTGAAAATAATTGATTTTAATTTTAAAAATGTATGAAAACGGTGTAGTAAAAGTCCAGGAGCGTATAAAATTCCATTTTTTTTATTCTTCCCCCCCCCCCAATTTGCCTTCCCCAAATTCGATAACTAAAAAAAAATAATATTTATTTTGCAGTGCATAATAATCCTTAAAATGGTGCATTTTAAAAAGCAAAGATCGTGCCATAGGCAAATGTTTTAAAAACTTTGTTTAATGGTATGATGGCAATGGTAAAATAGTCGGGATTGATTATTTGTCAGTTCAGGAGTATATTGTTTCTTGGAATTCATTTCACATCATTTTTCTTGGGGGGAAAATTTGTGAAATTTTTTTGTAGGTTTGACTATTTGGAAAAATTATTGAGTAATGAGCATCCTTGTATCATATTTATTAGGAAATTGTGCGCAGAGCGCGAACAATTTTGAACACGTTTTTTTTGCTGCATTATAACTATTGGGGGAAATTATTTATGAAAACTCTCTGATTTTAGATAAAATTATGTAGTTATGTAGAGGTAAAGAGTTCCAGCCCTTCCCTTGCTCTATATTCCTCTTTCCTTCACTTCTTTATTGGCCAACCTTCCATCGATTCTCAACCTTCCTTCCTTCGTTCCCCTTCCCTATCTTACCTTCCCCGTCCCTTCCGTAGTTCCCTATATTCCTCTTTCCTCTCAACCTTGCCCTTTCCCTCTCAATCTTCCCCTTTCCCTCCCAACCTTCTCCGTCCCTTCTTTTCCGCTTTCCTACTTATCTCTTTCTCTACCTATCTCCTTCCCCACCTTTCAACTTCACTCTCTTCCCTCTCCCCAACCTTTTCCCCCACCCTTCCCGTTTTATCCGCAGTTACCCTTCCCCTTTTCCTTTACTTTTTTCTTCCCCTTTTCATTTTATTTTCCATTCAATTTTAACTCTATGGATCGGACTTCAGGGGCTCGGGCTCAAATCATTTTTACATTACAGTCAAAATTTGATATTTCAAACTTTGAATATTTAATTCAAGAGAATTTATAGTTTGAACACAATCAAGTTGCAAAGATATATAAAAATTAGAAAACCCTAATTCTTTACGTTCGTATCAAATATTGATTAAACACTGAAAAACTGTAGTAAAATATAAAAATTGTATATTGTATTCTAGGCTATGAGGAATTCCTACCTGATTCTAGATGAGTATATGAGGTTCTTAGATAACACAGGTAATAAAAAGAAAACACTTTATTTTAAGTGTAATTGGTTATAATAATAATAACAATAATAATAAGATTCCAATCTTTTCTTTTTCTCTAAAAAATTAAAAGGATGGATCACAGTTCACAGTATTTTTTTACAATAAAGAAATAGCAAATTAGTTGTTAATAAAATGTTCCATACTGCCCAGAAGTAAATCTAAAATCTAATAAAATAAGAATAACAATAAATAATTTATAAAATCTTTAAAAAAAAATACAGCAGGATATCCCACGACTTAAATATTAAGTTTTTCGGATTAATATAATTTTAAGTCATTTTCCAAACATTATATTAAAATTAAAATTAAAATTATTGAATTTTTGTGTTTTAGAAAATTTGTAGAGATTTTAAAAGCTACAACATTAAATCTGACTATGAGAAAAACTGATAAGTGATCAGTGATTTTTGAACATATTTTCTAATTTCATGAAAATATCTAACCTTCGATTAATGAAAGCTTTTTTTTGCGCTTTTTTATGTTTTTTTTATGTACCTGTTAGATTTGTTTCTCGGTGTGAATTAACCAATATATGTTCATGTAACAACACACAATTTTTTGAACAAGTAGTTAACATCATTGTTCTGCGATTTTACTGATCAAAACGCAGCTGAGATATGTAAAATTTAAATTCTACAAATATATCTGATAAATTCCCCCCCTTCCCCCCTTCCCTCCTCTTTCCCCCAGCAAATGCATACCCAATACCCCTGACACAAGATATTTTAGAGGGTATGAAGACTCCATCAAAATCTATTCTGGATGTTGGTGTGCAGAATGCCATGAATAAATCAGGTACAGGCCCAGGGGATCCAGTGTTTACCCTAAGGTTTCCAAATGGAATTCCGTTGCGTGGAATTGCGCAGAGTTTACAGGGCTGGCAATTTCGCACAAGTAAAATCCACTTGCGTTGACATCGCTAGTTTACCCTCAACATTTTGGTTCAAGATCCATCTTTCAAATTTTGAATCGGGGGGAGGGGGGGGGGCATTACAATGTACATTGTACGTACAATTCTGCACCCAGAGCTGGGTTTTTACATGTATACAACCATGATCACTTGATAATATAATCCACAGTGGGCTCTGCACAAAATTTCCTGGCTTTTGGTCTGCTGTTTGTTGTTCTCAGACAATACTCTTTAAGGGATGTAACAATAAAAATTAAATAAATCTGTATATTAACACAAGATCAAAAATTCCCAGCTCTGATCATAAATATCTATGTTTAAAAAGAATATTTTTCCATCAGGATTTGACGAGGCAATGTTCTACAACCGAGGAGGAAGATATAATTGGTCTAAAGAAGCCTCCAATTTAGACTGGTAGATCAAGAATATTTCAGTGAAAAGAAAAATGTTCTGGATTTATATTGTAACCAAAGTTTAAAATTGAAAAAAGTATTAATTCAAAATAATTTTATAAAATTGTTTATATTCAAAATAGATTAAATATTGTTTTATCGTAGTTTTTATTAGTTATTAGTTTTGCACCGAAAATGTGGTAACAGTTAAGTTTCCATAAAGATCCATCCCACAAATGGACCTGTGTCTAAAAAGAAAAGTGTTGCGGAGTTAGTTGCCATATAATTTAGTACATATGAGGGACATAGAATATTAATTTTAATATTTGAAAGCTTGCAACATGGATATCATGTCACCTTTAGCTCATAATTATATTAACACAACCAGCCCAGAATACACAAAGACTGGCGGCAGTCATACAACCTGATATGTATATGAAGGGCTATGCTGGAGTTGGGTGGAGGTCTGGGTAATATATTAGTAAGATCCCACTCAGATTGGTTATACCAGAACAGCACTAATACCAACTCCTACTCTTACCTACAAATCAGAGTAGACTTTTTTTATGTCTAAATACGAAAACTTTCTCTCCATTCTACCTTCCATTTAAAATTTAGTTTTTACAGCATATTCTATATGTCATACATGGCTTCTGGACGCCTGTTAATAAAGACCAAGAAAAGGAAATTTCATATTTAATATTAGTCCTCATACTCTTCCAAAATCTATTGGATATACTTTTAATTATATCTGGGGTAGTGAGTCTGGGACTGGTACAAATATCATATTATTGAGAGTTTTTTACATAATCAAAATATAATTATATATATTATTTTCATTATTTACAACTACTTTACAAGGAAGTTAAGCAGGGGCGGATGCAGGATTTAAGTGAGGGGGTGCTAGATTTATTTAGGAACAAAAAAATCCAGATTTAGGAGCCAAAAGACGCGCCGAAGTCGAATTTTTTTTTGACTTTCCTGTTTTGCTACGCCCTTCCCTAAATCTGTCAGGGGGGTGCAAAGGTCCTGCCGTCCCCCCCCCCCTGTATCCGCCTTGAAAACTCTGCAGAGTGTGTGGTTATTTTACCTAATCTTCTCAAGGGATGTTAAGTAACCTAACCTCTCTCTGTTGGGTGAATCATAGCCTCATAGGTTGGGAATGTTGGTCCAAAGGTGATAGAATAATTTTGTTTAGACCAATAATAGTTTTACATCTGTATATAATTCCCATTCAATTTTAACTCTATGGATCGGACTTCAGTAGGGCTATGTTTTAACTTTATTCAAGCTTAGTATATAATCTGTGATTTACATCAGAATCTCAGGGGCGGATACAGGAGTTTATTAGGTTTGAGCGAAACTGTTATTGTGTGGAGCGCAAACATTTTTATCTTGCCAACCCCTACCAATTTCTTGCTCACCCCTATAGATGGGAGCAGGGGAAACACAAGAGAATATAAATCTTGATTTTGACCTCATATTGCACATTTTTCAGCTGTAGTTATATCATGTTTTCTATATCACACACACTCACATTGTTATATGCTTGGTTTTCCCTTAGATCTGAAAGTTCCCCAGATTTGCTAATTGTGGTAATTCAAACTCTGAAGTAACACCTCCTTTAACCTGAAGACATTGTTCAGAAATTCATTTACACATTTGACCCAAGCTGGGAACTTTAGAATGGATAAAATCTTGACTTCTTAATCCGGATATTCATTGTGAAAGCTCATAATTTTAGTCCTTAATCCACTCTTTTTCTCTCTCTTTGGATATCCGTACATTGTTTTCTCCAATGAGAGTGAAGGAATATAGTTCGTAAATTGAATTGACCAATGACAGCCTTGAAAATGAATTTTATCCAATGAGAGACCTCCGCAATTTCTAGCAAATAAAGAATTTGTTGTCGGCCATTTTGTAAATTAATCGGTAAAGAAATATATGAAATAATACGTTTGAGATTCTTTTTAGACTAATTTGAACTAATAATGTGTTAATATATAAATGGGTGAGAAATTATAATTAATCTCGAGACTAACATAATTTTGTTAGTCTCGAGATTAGCAAAAAGAGAGGATTAAGCATTAATCCTGATATCCACCATTCTAAAGTTCCCAGCTCCAATTACATAATTGTTAAGTTCACATTTCAAATTTTCTTTTTGAGGATGAAATGTACACTTCAAGTTTTAAAATTTATTAATCTTTGGCGAAATTGATTTAGGCAGATTAAGTAATCAAAAATGGCAATTCTTTTCTGCTTACTTCAGCTTAACCCTCATCAACCACCGTAGTTGTTATTGTACCAACATCTTGTGCCTCATCTACCTTGCCACCCTCCACCTGCTCCTGTGCCTCCTTCCTTTCTTCTGCGTCCTGTTCTTCCTTTGCCTTGTTCCTTGCTGCCTCTTGTGTTTGCTCTGCCTTTTTCCCTGCTGCTTCCTTTGCTTTCTCTGCCTTTTTCCTTGCTGCTTCCTGTTCTTCCTCTGCCTCGTCCCCATCCTTGGCCTCGGCCACTTCCACGGCCAACTCCATATCTTCCATATTGTCCTCTTCGACTGCTCCCTCCATGTCTTTCATATTTTTCACTTCCACTTACTCCATTTTCTCCACTACCTCCCTTCCCAGCATATCCTCCATTTACTCCAACCTCCCTGGTCCTTTCACTTCCTCCATCACCACCATTCTCTACTCCTGTTATTTCTCCTCCAGTCCCAGCATATCCTTCATATACTCCATCTTTTCTAGTACCATGATATCCCTTATTTACTACATTCGCTTCACCTCCATCATCACCACCATTCTCCGATCCTGCTGAAGCTTCTTTACTTCCTGCATATCCCCCATTTACTACATCCTCTCCAGTCCCTTCACCTCCACCATTCTCTGATCCTGCTGTAACTTCTTCAATTTCTGCATACTCCACAATAACTCCAGCTTCTCCAGTCCCTTCACCTCCACCATCACCACCATTCCCTGCTGTAACTTCTTCAGTTCCTGCATATCCTCCATTTACTCCATTCTCTCTCCAGTCCCTTCACCTCCACCATCACCACCATTCCCTGCTGTAACTTCTTCAGTTCCTGCATATCCTCCATTTACTCCATTCTTTCCAGTCCCTTCACCTCCACCACCGTTCTCTGATCCTGCTATAACTTCTTCAATTTCTGTATATCCGCCATTAACTCCATCTTCTCCAGTCCCTTCACCTCCACCATAACCACCATTCCCTGCTGTAACTTCTTCAGTTCCTGCATATCCTCCATTTACTCCATTCTCTCCAGTCCCTTCACCTCCACCATAACCACCATTCCCTGCTGTAACTTCTTCAGTTCCTGCATATCCTCCATTTACTCCATCTCCACCATTCTCTTCACCTCCTCCATCACCACCATTATCTTCTCCTGCTGTATTGTGTTCATTCCCAGCATATCCTCCATTTACTCCTTCTCCACCATTCCCATCATCTCCTCCTTCCCCTCCTCCATCACCACCATTCTCAAACCTTGCTGTGTAACCTCCATTTTCTCCTATTGAACCTTCTTCTCTCACTCCCCAATCTGCTCCCAATGAGTAGTCTCCTCCAGAGCTACTATTTCCATATTGTTGCACTTTATTCTCAGTTTTGATGCCACCCTAAATATTATTTTTTAAAGATATAGTTAATGAGAAAAGGCCTTGGTGAATATTTGAAGAAAGCTCAAATGTACTAAAATCTATATCTTTGCAACCGGACAGTGTGAATTATAGCTCATTTCATCTAACAGAATTTATAGACATTGGGTCGCAAAGACACAGGGATTAGAAAATCAGAGCTTGTGACAATGATTCAATTCCTTTATATACTGCAGAATGTATTTATGGTCAAAATTACTTTTTTTTCAAAATGAAAAATTCAAGGTTTTATTTATAATGATAATGGTAAGGACCAACAATCAACATTTTATTAATCAGGACATATTTAGTCTCCACACACATTTAATAACATCACTGCAGATTTTGTTAGAACTTGATTGCAATAAATTAGTATCAAAATTTCATAATGTCTCTGCTCACAAAACGAACTGCGATGTAGGCAGGGGCGGATACAAGGGGGGGGGGCGGGGGACATTCGCCCCCCGTGAATTTGGAATTTTTTGTTCCTATTTTCAGAATAGCTTCTCAATAGCATGGCTTAAGGGAAAGAAACCCTAGTGCAAAACAGGAAAAATGTCTGTCTTAATAAAATATAATGTGTAAAAAGTTAAAAATCTAGTTTTTTAGTCTTTAGTCATTAATTTTGACTCTTTTTGAGTCTTTTCAGTCAAACAAAATTTTCGCATGCGGCGCGATTTTTTGTTCCTAATTATGATTTTTTTGTTCCTAAAAAATCTTGCCCCCCCCTCACTTAAATCCTGTATCCGCCCCTGGATGTAGGTTTAAAGATATTTGCTATTGGTTTGCTATGTCAGTCTCTATTATGCATCATTAAGTCCATAAGCATTTACCCTCTACTTAGAGACATGCCTTTCACACAATGGTACTTTCACACCATTGTCTTAGCAAAATTGATGAGGATATTCTTGTTTTTCTGTCAAAGTAACTTAAAAGGTTTTTGTTGAAGAGAGAAGTAATATATTATTTTTCCTCATTGTTTTAGCTGTACAGGGTTACTATTGTGAATCAGATATGCAACTTTTTAATATGGAGATCCATTGAAATTACAAGGACATTCCCTTTATATAAGTTTTAAAGTTCCTACCGGTGTGTCAGCTACTTCTATCAGATAGGTTTTGCTTGACACTAAAGAAATAGACAAGATAAGGAAGAAGATTTCAGTGGTACTGATCCTAGAACAGTAAAGGATTAATCAAGAATATCAGATATTTATTGCTCATGAACAGTGTAGTGTAAGATCATGGGAATATAACATTAAAGGAACATTTTTCATCCCCGCAAAGGGTTTATCAAGGCTATCAGATCGTGAGATAGTATACACTCAGTTGCAGGAGAAGTGCAGTGTGTATGAAAATTTTCGAATCGATGCATATGGCAACATGGTGGCGATTTTTCTTGTTTTTTCTTTAAAAATTGCCATAAACATTGTTAAGGGCAACCGTAGTACATTTGAATTTCCGAGCCGGGTCACCCTTTCCTGTCCCAGTTTGTACTGTACCTAGCTCTATGGATAGGACTAGCCGGTGCAACAAGGTTGACGCGGTCAGACTTTATGGTTCATATAGGTTGAATTTACTTTTACTAAAGGGGCAGAGGTGCGTGTTGTGAGAAGACGAAAAGGACGATCGCAAAATGAGAAGAATAATTAAGGTTTTTTAATCGTTCTAATAATTTATTAAAATTACTAAATACTGCATAGTTAAAAGAAGCGTAAGAAAATATTTACTAAAGAGGACATTTTCATAGACTGTTCTTTTTGGTAAATTAATCAAAATATTTTAGCTGAGCTGAAAACTTTAGAATTAGATACACTTACTACCGATCACTAAGTATGGATATGGACACTTTTGATTTCTATCTTATCTGCTCTTTTTACTTTTATTGGATTCCCAACTTAATTCCGACCAATGAAAGTTTTTTTTCACAAAAGATGCACATTACATCGACCACAAGATTAAAATAATAATAATAAGATTGAGAAAAAGATTCTAAAGTTTTCAGCTCTGTAAAGATAATTATTGATATGTATAAGCTGATTTATTAATTTGTGAATTGAGATAAAGTTTATTTCAATGTATTCCAGTAAATTTAGATTTTAATTAAAAAAACTGTTTTTTTCTTATCTTATAATCGTTATTTATTGATTTGAAATGACCTTATCATGTCTTGCTAGGAATCCTACTAATTTACGGTAGAAATCTGAAACAATATATAGTTTTAGAATTGTCTTAATGTTATCAAACATTATTGATCTTTTCACACTACTTTATGTGGGGCTAAACTATTTTCCTTCAACAAAAATTTTAAATTAAACAGATTATGTTTTTAAAACATAATTTTTATTGAAAATTTCGAAAAAAAATTAAGAAAGGTTCTCAAGATTATCTCCGTTAACTTTGCTAGTATACTGCATAGTTTAAAAACTTTAAATTGTAAAATGTGATTCTCTGATTCTTTGTTTTGAAAGTTAATTTGCATGGAGATAAACTCTATGAAAGTTTTAAACAAATGATTAAATAAATCAAATGTTATTTTAAACATGTATTATCCATAACATTGTAAAACATTATGAAGAAACTGTAAACAAATCATCCTAATCTTATATTTTTAAAATATATTTAAAGGAGCATCTAAAACTTGTATTTTAATGAACTAAAGATATTCAGTTTAAGTTAAAACTCATTTTTTTTATAATACAGTGATAACCAGAAAACTCTGAAATAGGGAGACGACTTCATAGCAATGTATTTAATGCTCACTTGATGATTTGGTGCACAATTGCAGTGTTACATGCTGGTTAGACTTTTAAAAGTTTTAAATTGAGTTTAAAAGTCGTCTTCTTATTTTAGAGTTTTTTTTTGGTTATTAGAGTTTTTTGGCCGTTTTTCATCCTTACATGACGACATTTTTTCTGATTAAAATTATGACTGGACAGTGTTCTGGACACATTCAGACATTTTTTAAACTGTTCGTAATAAGTGGAACCCATAAACCTGTTAAAGAAGAAGAAGAAGACGACTGTTGAACTCAAATTATGATTAAAAACATTTAAAACAGTCCAATGAGCATGAACCACAGCTATTGTGACGAATATGCAGACCCACTTGTTAATTTTATTTTCAAGCTACGACAGTACAGATTCTATCTTTACGTTAATATATTAAAACTAAAAAATTGAGATTTTAGAATTTGTTTTGCTCATTTTTTACCTCCATTGTCAAATACAGGGTGTCCCAAAAAACATGGGAATTCAGTAACGAATTCGATATCGTCTTTGTTATGAATTAGCATTGTAATACCTAATTTTCAAAAGACATCATATTATCATGTCTGCTAGAGTTTATTTAATGAAAAGGGTAAAAGACTGCAAAGATGTGTCTATAATGTCTCCGCAAGAATAACAGTGAAGATGGACAAGTTTACTCTGTTTACTGCAATTTTCTTGTTTTTTTAAGTACAACCGTATGCAGTCAAAACATAAACAAACAAAATGTGAACATAGCAGACGAACCTCTTACAGATTACAGCTTTCTCAGTAGGTATCACTATACTAAATCAAAGAATTATCTAAAAAGACGATATCGAATTCGTCACTGAATTCCCATGTTTATTGGGACACCATGTACATATTTCTGTTCTACATTTAACTTTCAAAAAAACAATAAAAATTGAATCTTTTTCGGTAATTTTGGACATAATTTCTTTATGAACTTTTAAAGAATTATAGTTTTGATTCAACTTGACCAGGTCGATTCTAAACAAAGTGTCAACATTCGTTGCAGATATCAAAATGTACCGATCTAATAATGAACTGATTTAACTTTCACGGATATCTAATGATTTCGTGGCGAATTGTTATGCATGCCTTTATTTTGTTAGATTTCCTAAAGATTATTCTATAGCAAAACTATTTCCTTTCAAATCAAATCAAATCAAATCAAATCAAATCAAATCAAATCAAATTCACACAGTGACACAGCTTTGACAAAATGTTGCTCTGTTCCAAATTTTGATGTAGGAGATTTAGAAGATCCTTAAAATTTAGTTTAGATTTAAAAAAAGGAGAAAAAATGCATTTTAGGCTTTTTCTCAAACTTGCCATAGCTGGTTATTGATTACATAGAGAACATAATTGTGTGAATTTTAAAACAAACAGTTTTACTGTTAAAAATGTTAAGGTTAGAATTATTAAATTTTCGCTATTGACAATGCATTATATCAAAATTATAAAATAAATTGTTTATCAAAAAAAGTGTTTGTCTTAATTAATAGTTATTATTTAATATTGTTCAGAACATTTCTACAATTAAACGCTTTAATGTTTAGTTTCAGATTTCTCATTTGATTAAAATTATAAAAAAATAATTTTTTATGCCATTATAACTATTCTGGTATTACTAGGAGGGTATTATATTTAAACATAAATTATTGAAATCAAAACTAATGATTAAAAACAACAAATATTTTTAACTAAAAACATGTTCTCTGGTGACCATCTATTTTTTATTTAGATTTAAATTCTCATTTTTACATTATATAAATCTAATCTTTTAAAGGAGTAAATTAAGTGTTTGAAGCCATCACAATAGCATGCAATTCTAAGATTTTATTTAAGATTTAAAACAAACGAAGAATTAAACATGTAATTTTTGTCTAAAACCCATAAATTTTCAGTTTTGTATCTACATTTTTAACACAATTGGAGAATGCAGTGTATCCAGACGCCCGTTATTCTGATGTTGTTCTGGTTTCTCAGTAATTATTTCGTATCATCTAGATATGTCAAGGATACAGAAATAAAACAGGTAAAATTGAAGAATATTCTCTGTATAGAAAATAGAAGACGAAAAGTGAAGATTTTACTAAAATTCACATCAAATAGATTTGTATATAAATGTAATAGGTACAACTCTGTCTGTCTATCTATAATCTATATAGATATGAATATTTAGCTTGATAGTAAACAATAAATGGAATCAATTATTATAACCTCTTTTTCCAAAGATTTCAACCAAAATCTCTTTTTCCTAAACTTTCAATCCAAACTTTCGGTCGCGTACTGCAAATGCAATGATCTGCAGTATAACCATGACCGACGAAATCCTGGGCTTTATATCTTTTTAACCTAATTATGTAAAACTTTGATATTTAAGAGTTAGATTATTTGATCTAACAGAAGCAATGGCTTGAAATATCAAAAGTCTCCAACATTATGTTACAAAGATTTAGGGGTTTGAAAATCAGAACTTGTGGCAAAGACTTGATTTCTTTGCTTTCTCCTACTCCTGCGTAAAATCAGAGAAGCTACGAGCTGCAAGTTTGACCAATTCCTTATGATAAGACTCTAAACTGTAGTGCAAAATGCTTTGTAAGTTATTATCTCTTTGTTATTGTAATGGGTAAACATGAAAATCTAACTTATTTCACAAGCAAGGCTGCTTGGCTAGGGCCGTTCGGTTTCGTGCATCATTCATGAAAACCCCAATGTTTTTAATTGTTAAATTATTTTTTTTTCATCTCAAACTATCGCTCGTTTTCGATCGATTGTTGTTTAAAAATTTTAGATTATTCGTTTTTGTTACTAGCATTTGTTTTAAAAAATCTTTTTTTCATTTCTCTAAACAAATAAAGTCGTTCGTCCATCGTTATTTTTTTTCTTTCTGAGCGACACCTTTGTTCGTGAACATTTGATCTCAAAAATGTAGTCCGTTCTCAAAAATGTAGTCCGTTATCGAAAATGTAGTCCGTTCTCAAAAATGTAGTCCGTTCTCAAAAATGTAGTCCGTTCTCAAAAATGTAGTCCGTTATCAAAAATGTAGTGCATACATGAGAGAGATCTTGAGATAACTCTTGAAAAAACTTAATGAACTAACTTTTATATTTTACATTAGCAATTACTTCCCAAATGATCACATTAAATAACCAATTCTTATGTTTAGGATTCTATTGATAATGTACCAGTTCTGAATCATGGACCTGTTGTTGAACAAGTTGGAAATAGAAATTTTACATTGGATTACTTCTTTGGTCTGGGATTGGGATTGGGATTGCATTTTGGATCTGTCCTGGGACAGGAGGGATGGGATGGGGGGAGGGGGGATGGAGCAGGATTAATAGGATGGAATGGAAAGGAGGACGGATGGAATTGGTAATGCTACAGAATTTAATTACTTGTTAATAGTAGTTTAAAATATACTTAGAGTTACATTTCCTTGGCTAAATATTTAAAATGGCACTTTTTTCAGTCTACTATTTTTTCCACTGGTACCGTTAAGAATTTCTAAAACGCGTTAAGTAAAATTGAGATCGTTAACGATCAGTAACTTTATCCAAGAATGGTAGATTCCTCTAACAGAAAGGTTCCTTCAGTTCTTGGAACAAATCAAGATAATGTTAGGCCAATAGAGAAATCCACTAAATTCTGTAATATACAATAAATTCATTTTTGGTGTACAATTGTATACTGGTTGTTTATAAACAAACGCAACCGAAACTGGATTTGAACCGAAACATGAAATCGAACCCAGTATTCAAACCTTAGTTGCAGTCCAGAGATTTAAAGTTACAAATATTAAGACAAATAAGGTAAATTAATTCATTATGTTTAAATATTTATCAAAAACCCTCTCCTCCTCCTGTATTGTGTTTTCTGGCAGGAATAAATTAGAAAACAATTAAACAACTATTATGGTTTGATTTTTTTTTTTAATATTCATTAATTATAATTGCTCATAAAGGGACTGTATTTTCACTTTCCAAAATTTGTTTAACATAGTATAGAACTATAGAACCCATTAAATGGGGAACAGTATAAGACGACTGTAGACTACACAAATACTTTTTTATGAAACTACTGTGTCACTTCTTGGTAAATTTCATTTACACATGCTATAAAGTAATCATCGTGCTAAAATGTGAAATTAGCTGTTTAGCTTACCACTGTGCTATCAAGTTTCATTGGCTCCCGGATTCTATCCAAAAAATGAATATTTAAAAAAAATTTTTTTTTATAAAATTACCTAACACTATTATTTCGGCACAGTACATGTTATAAAGTTTTAGACTAATATTTTACGATTATATTTTGTCCATTGCTAAAGTTCTGGACAAAATATAATTTAAAAAGGTTTGAAAGTTGAATCTTCTTCAATCTTCTTAAAAAAAAATTCTGTTAAAAAACTGTATAGCACTGTGCAGTGAACCAAAATAAATAGTGTTATAAATAGTTAGAAATAATTCAATGAACATGAAACAAAAAAATATTTTTAAATTGTATTTTATTTTTCTATAATCATAATTATTATTAAATAGATTTTTTTCTTTACAATTATTATTATTTTTCCCCCCGGACTAATCTGTTTCTTTTATTTAAAATTAAACATGTTTTGGTCTATAATTCAATCATCTTTAAACTTACATACTTGTGTATTCTATACTTTTTCATTCAAAATGCATATGCCAACAAAAAAGTATTTAAGAAAAAATGCTAGAACATATTTAAGAATCCTACATGTTGGGTTTGTATTAGGTATTTTATATATATATAGATATTTAAGAATCCTACATGTTGGGTTTGTATTAGGTATTTTATATAGATAGATATTTAAGAATCCTACATGTTGGGTTTGTATTAGGTATTTTATATATATATATAGATATTTAAGAATCCTACATGTTGGTTTGTATTAGGTATTTTATATTTATAGATATTTAAGAATCCTACATGTTGGGTTTGTATTAGGTATTTTATATTTATAGATATTTAAGAATCCTACATGTTGGGTATGCATTAGGTATTTTATATAGATAGATATTTAAGAATCCTACATGTTGGGTTTGTATTAGGTATTTTATATAGATAGATATTTAAGAATCCTACATGTTGGGTTTGTATTAGGTATTTTATATATATATATAGATATTTAAGAATCCTACATGTTGGTTTGTATTAGGTATTTTATATATATAGATATTTAAGAATCCTACATGTTGGGTTTGTATTAGGTATTTTATATTTATAGATATTTAAGAATCCTACATGTTGGGTATGTATTAGGTATTTCTTCCCAGAGGTTAGAGCAGCAGAGCACAGAACCAGGAGAACTATCAGTTCAAAAGTTTTCATCCTAAAAATACTGGATTTTAAAAAGGGCAGTGAAACAAAATGTGCGCACAACACTCTTACGAAAAAAATTGACCGTGAGTTTGACAATCACGCCTTTAAACCTATAACTAAATTCTATAATTTAAATAAAACCAAATGCCAAGGTGTTGTGACACTTCAAAGTCGACCCGGTCTTGAAAAATAATTTGCCTAGCTGTCTCATGTAAAACTAGCATTGCATGTTGAATTGTTATCATGGTTCAAACCATTACTCATCTTAATAAAGCATTGCTCTTTTCAAAAAGTGGACATTTTTTCACAGCTTGATAAATGAAAATTTTATAAAAAATATTTCAACATAATGTATCTAATGAACAAAAATCTTGTTTTGTGCAAACATTTTATACGTTTTTAGTAACCTATTATAATAACCTAAGCACTCAAATTTTAGCATACTTGTATTATATTTGTGTCTTTTCCAATTATTAAAAAAAAAATAATATTCGGTTCTCAATCATCTTTGAATGTTTTCAAAAATTGTGACTTCATGTGCGCACATTTTGAATTGATTTTGCTAGACAATATATCAAAAAATTTGGAAGCACTGATTAAAATGAAACTGATCACTCTTTTCAAAATTGTTAATTATAATAATTTTATCTGAGTTCCTGGAACTCTGAAATGTCCAACTATTATTGCTGCTAGATTTAGCTGTATCAAGGTTTTACACAAAAGGTTTACACGACATGTCATTGTCTACGTTTTACTGATGAAAGGTTTACACGACATGTCATTGTCTACGTTTTACTGATGAAAGGTTTAGAAAATTTGAGTTTGTAAAGAGTAATAAGAAAATGATTTGAAGTTTAGTTTTCCAACCTGATGTGTCAGCCTGCTGAATAAACACTACTGACAACTTTACAAATGTTTAACAAATTATATTAATTTGATACAAATTAATTTGATCATTTACTTCAAAGGATTGCATTAAGTAAATAATCAATAATTAATTGATTACAAATTTTGAATAATGCTAAATTTTAACCTTAAATATAATTAATCATGTTGACATTTCAAATAATTCAACTTAAAGGGACTGCATGATGCTTAATTTCAAGTGATCCTCTCTCCTCTATACAATTATGGCATTGTCAGATTCACATGGGTACTCTTAAAAACTTTGTCTGATTAGGTATAAATTAGATAATCATGTTTTGTTTCTTTAAACTGTTTGTTTTCATTAGCGGTTTTTCTGCGAACGTGACTTCCGCATTTCTTGTTTATAAGAAGCAACTGAGACACTCGCAGAAATAAATACTTTTAAAGTCAGAAAAACGACGTTATCTTCCACATTTTTGATCAGATTAAGGTTTCAAGGGTACCGTTGTAAATCGGGCCATTGTCAACTTTGCGTGGAGGGTCACTTGAAATTACCTGTACAGTCCCTTTAATATTTAATATTTAATGCTAAAACTTTAGCTGTTTCCTTATTTTGATAGAGTTAACATGTAGAAAAAAACATAAACTTTAAAACTTTTAAAGAAAACTCTTAAAGTTCAGTCTAACTTATACTTGCGTATATATGTTTAATGTTAAAATGTTGAAAATAATATAGAAATATAATATCTTTTTTAATTTGTAGGGTAGGGTACAGCACAGGGCGGAAAAAAGTCCGGTTTGCGAAAAAAAATCTAAAATAGCCCATAACTTTTTTGCGACTAAACCTACAGATCTAAAAACTCTATTTTTGAAGAGCACTTGAAAAATGCATATTTGTCTATAACAAACACATATTTTTTTAATTTCTTTGACCTTTTTTATGCATTTTTTTCCACCCTCCCTAGCACCCCAAACCATTAAAGTTATCGGTCTATTTTTTTTTCTTTGAGCTGGCCATGAAAAATTGGGCTATGAACATGCATTTCAACCCTTTACCTATTCTCTGAAACCTTTTTCTAAGAGGGGGGGGGGCGTCAAACGCCCCCCCGCAGGCTATACATAGATTATTGAACTATAGACTAAAAACAGATTGAATTTAAATAGAAGAAACCAGACGCATCTCGATCGCCCTGGTAAGTGCAGGGACGTAAGTTTTCTTCTTCATACTTCTTTCAGGTCTGTATTCCTATGCCCACTCTTGTACACGTATACTGTCTCTTTCAGGTCTGTATTCCTATGCCCACTCTTGTACACGTATACTGTCTCTTTCAGGTCTGTATTCCTATGCCCACTCTTGTACACGTATACTGTCTCTTTCAGGTCTGTATTCCTATGCCCACTCTTGTACACTTATACTGTCTCTTTCTGAGTTGGATAATTAAGAGAGAGTATCGTTGAACGAAACTCCCGAGTTTCCTTTTTGGGGTCATGAATTCTGTCCGTCCAATTATGCTGAACAATTTACCATTAATGAATTATGCTTCAGTCAGATAATTCAATGGATTGTAGTATAAAGCGAGCTTGCTTTATTTCAAAGATACATATTTGACTGAGTATTGCATCTTGTAATATCACAAAGTTGGTTAATGAGTGATTTTAAGATGGATTTAGTATAATGAGTCAGTAATTAAATAATCATTAGACTTCAAGATGCAATACTCAGTCAAAGGAATTGAGTCTTTGCCACAAACTCTGATTTTCTAATCACCATATCTTCGGAACCAAATGTTGCATACCTTAGATATTTCAAACTATGAATTCTGTTATATCAAGTAATCTGAGTTTGAAATATCAAAGGTTTACAACATCGAGTTCTAAAGATATTGTGGTTTAAATATTTGATTTTGTTCCAAAGACTCAATTTCTTTGTCAAAAATTTCATTGTAAAACAGTTTAAGAATTCAACACACTAAATATTAATCTTAAGTAGAATTGTAAAATGGTTTGAGTTGTGTGTTTTGCTTGACGCGGCTGGATTTTTTAAAATCTCACTTTAAAGGCCCTAAAAGTACCATTTAAAAAAGTAGTTTTGCCTTGAATACTCAAATGTGGTGGTAAGGAAGGGGAAATAGTGGTGGCTTATGGCTGCCGGAACAGAAAAAGCTAATATGTGGCATGGAAGGGGAAATAGTAGTGGCTCATGGCCGCCTGCCTTCCCCTGCTCATCGTGGGCACCAAAAACAAATTGCTTAAGGTATATTATGGTGCATCATTTTGAATTGTTCATAGTATTTTCAAAAATAAGCCATTTTAGAGGAAAAATTGGATTTTTATTTGGGAAAAATAAGTTTAGCAGTTTACATTAAAAGGACGTCATTATTTCTTTTTAAAACTTAAATATTTAGTTCTTTATGTACATCTTTTGCATGATGTTGCTGGATTTTTGAAAATCATTTAAAAACGTAATAACTGCCAGAAAACTCAAATGCTGTGGCATGGAAGACCATACAATTTTGGCTCATAGCTTCCGGAACTCGGAAGACAAAAAACTAAAATGGGGCATGGAAGGGAAAAATGCTGTGAATATGGCCGCCTGCCTTCCCCCGCTTATGCAGGACAGTACGCTCGATAAATGATCCCTTTTTAGTGAAATGTATATAGACCTTAAAAATTAGAAACAGAAACCCAGCAATGTTGCAGTGTACTTTTACTTATTATCCAAAAATTCATAAATAACAGTAATAGTTTAAATTGTTTTTTTGAATGACTCAAATCTGAATTTATTGATGTTATTATCATATTATTTTCCTAATAACAACAATCCCCCTAACCCCACCAATCCCCACCAGCCCCCACCATAGCCACCATAAAAGAAGTAATCTTCTCCTGTAGTTTCATCCCCGGTTCCATTCCCGGTTCCATTCCCAGTTCCATTCCCGATTCCATTCCCGGTTCCATTCCCAGTTTCACTTCCAGTTCCATTCCCAGTTCCATCCCCAGGTTTCATCATATGTGGAGGAGAAGGTGGCTGGGAATCCTAAACAAAATCGAATTTTTCGACATTTATTAAAAAAATCATGAAGAAAAAAGTGATTGGTTAAAATGTGTCGCACCATTGATAATTTCATAAACTTAAATTCAAATCTTAAAATGTTTAAGAAATTTTTGGCGGCGGTTCTCCAGCTAGACATGGACGTTTTTTTTAACTAATTACTTTCCCAGACTGTATTTGTACTTAATTGGCAGGTTTAGTACAGAATTACTTTGCCAAAATCCCTGAAATGTTAAGAGCAGAGACACCTAGCAGCCAAAAAAATCGATGGTGTATTTTTGGACCTACGCTTAACCGACCAAAAATCAAAATATATCTCTTTTCAGTAGAATCCACAAAACCATAAAGTTTAAAGAATTTCTTAATCCACAAATTTAAAATATTAATTCATTCAGCTGATCAACTTGTGTTCTCGTAAAAGGTTTACACAAATTATACTATACAAGCATAACTTTAAATATTTTACAAAAATTATTCTTTTTTATGAATTAGTGGTAGGAAAGTTAGATTAGTTCATGATTTATTGATCTTTATATGAAACTGCTATAGTTATTCACATATAAAGGAATTAGTGAAATTTAAAAGCCTTAATCTTAATTAAAATAGACTTTAATACAAATTGTTTTTATTAGAGACCAAAAGCAGGGCATGGAGATGTAATGAGAGGCGAGAGCAGTTACAGAAGGGATTGGAGGTCATTCTGCATATCAGGAAGCTTTGGAGGTCATTTTGCAGGCTCATGGCACCCTCATCCATCATATCACACTGTTTGTAATTGAGCATTGTTGATCATTTCGTGGGCTCATGGCAGCCATCATGGCAGTATTTAGAAATCCAGTTTGGTGGATTTGACCCCAGACCTCCACATTGGCATGGCAGCTTGCTCTTGACTGACATCTAGTGAGCTTTCAGTCCTATTAGATGTCAGTGAAGCATATGTGTATAAATGTTAGAGTTTTAAAGTTTTTTGAGCTTGAAAACTACTCTAAATGTCAATATAAAACTTACCTTAGCAACTAACGCCTTTTTGGTCACATTTTCTTAATTTATAGAAAGACTGGTTTATTTTTAAATACTGATGATTCATTATATGAGAGTTTAAATAGCAAATTAAAGTTTTGATTTCTTCAAAAAAATTCATTTACGTGCTCCCTCGCACAGCTTCCGAACCTCATTTTACCTATTTGCAGCAGTGCTCGTCCTCAAGAGCTTCCAACCCTCCCACAAACAGTCTTCCGTGAAGGGCCTTTCAATTATAATCGCCAATTTCTACTTAAAACGGGACTTTGATTATTTAAGCACGGTAGTTGATCTATAGTATCCTTCACATTTGCATAATATTTTTTTTTTTACAATTAAAGTTTGGGAGAAAATAGCTTTGTTGTATAGATTTATTTTAATAACAAATCTTGGAATGGCTGGCACTTTATTATGAATAACTTTTAGTAATAAGTAGACATATAAAAAAGTTTCCTTCATAATATGTTATTTCTAAAAACATATTTGTTTGTTGATTTTCTTTCTAGTTATTGAGATATTTAAAGAAAACAAAACTCTGCTATAACCTAATGATTTTAAAACTATAATTGCCGCCTTTTTTACAAGCGCTACAGATTTGAAATACATATAGATTGAAAGATAATTACATTTTCTTTAATTTGAGCATTGCTGAAATTGCCTTTTTTCTTTGTATAATGCATTATTTTGCAGGCAAATTAACTTACTATAAATAATACGTTTTCGTCTGCAAAACGAATTTTTGTAAGTTTATGCGTTTACGTAAATTTCTTTATTTACAAGTTTAAGGGATTTGAAGCTGTACAAAATTTCAACGTTCCGAACGTTGAATGTGTTAGCAAGAATGTTTCCAATATAGCCTCTGAACCTGTAGGTTCGGAAGCAGTATGGGGATTCAGCACAATGCCGCAAATCAAAAGGATACACAAAGACAATTTCAAACAAAATCTACAAAGTTTTTCCAGCCCAAACTTTGATTGTAAAAAAAATATTACACAAATGTTAAGGATACTATAGATCCAATATTTTGCTTAAATAATCAAATTAGTCCCGTTTTAAGTAGAAATTGACGAAAATAAATGGAAAATCTTTCCCTGCAGACTGTTTCGGGGAGGTTCGGAAGTCCTTTGGGAACGAGCACTGCCACAAATAGGTAAAATGAGTTTCAGAAGCTGTGCGGGGGAGGTTGCCTTCCCTCCCTCATGGTATAAGCATTTTAAAATATTAGCATCATGAGTATGCAATTTCATCTCAAAAGTAGTGCCTACCCCCGCACACACTCCTCAGGCTGCCGTGGTGTCTACCCCTGCTCACACACTCCTCAGGCTGCCGTGGTGCCTTCCCCCGCACACACTCCTTAGGCTGCCATGGTGCCTACCCCTGCACACACTCCTCAGGCTGCCGTGGTGCCTACCCCCGCACACACACTCCTCAGATTGCCCTGGTGCCTACCCCCGCACACAGTCCTCAGGCTGCCGTGGCGTCTACCCCTGCTCACACACTCCTCAGGCTGCCGTGGTGCCTACCCCCACACACACTCCTCAGGCTGCCGTGGCGTCTACCCCTGCTCACACACTCCTCAGGCTGCCGTGGTGCCTACCCCCACACACACTCCTCAGGCTGCCGTGGTGCCTACCCCCGCACACAGTCCTCAGGCTGCCGTGGTGCCTACCCCTGCTCACACATTCCTCAGGCTGCCGTGGTGCCTACCCCCGCACACAGTCCTCAGGCTGCCGTGGTGCCTACCCCTGCTCACACATTCCTCAGGCTGCCGTGGTGCCTACCCCCGCACACAGTCCTCAGGCTGCCAAGGCGGAATCAAAATTCGACCATTTTTTGCAGGCAAGCTAGGCATAGACACTACAGCTCTCTCCCTTGGGTCATACTGTTTTCTCTTTAAGCGAGCGCATAAATAAAAAAGATTTTGATATTTTAACTACATGTTGGGTTTCTGTGTTTTGAGATAAGAAAAATTTTTAAGACTCCTACCCGGGTTTGTATTAGGAATTTCTTTCCTGAGGTTAGAGCAACAAAACATAGAACCAGGAACACTAGCACAAATAAAGTCTTCATCCTAAATAAAATTATTAAAACTAGAGATCAGCATCGTTTTAGTAAACATATACAATTTGTTGTGAGAGAACAACTATTTTTGTGAAAGAACAAAATTTTGCTGTATGCTGACTTTTTGAAAAAAAGCGAATGATAAATGAAGGACTTTGATCGTTCAAAGAAATTATTGAACACACTTTTTAATGAATGATTTGAACAAACAAACAAACTTGAAAAATCGGTCATATTTTGAACAAACAGATTTTCCAAAAGATTTTGAAAAACAATCGTTTTTTACTGAACGTTCAATTTTACTGATTTATCGTTCAGTGAGAAAGCAAACGAAATAGATTGAAGTTGAGACATGAATATGATTGCTTATGATTATGTTCATTATATACATAGTTAGTATTACTTACTGCTTTTATCTTTTACATAAGTTTAAGATATTTCTAACGTTACTGAAATAATATTTCCTAGAACTTTCCAGAACGATGTTCTGGATCAATTCTGGATCGCAAACCCTAGACCCTAACCCGGTTTTCCGATTCAGGGGGAAAATATGTTCCGGAATTAATCTCGGATTCTGGAATTGCGGAATTCCAGAACCTTTTCTAGAAAGGAAATGGAATAAAATTCCCAATCATTTTGTAAGTAAACTCTACTATGAATTCAATGGCCTATATGTCAGGCAAAAAAAGTTTGCATTTTTGGTTATTTTTGTGTTGGGACATTTCATGGATGAACATTTTATACGTACAACTTTGTTTAAATTAAAAATGTGATTAGTTTTTTTTTGCGAAAATAAATTAATATGTTTTATTATGTATGTTTAAGCAAAATATTAAATATCTAATCTAAGGAATGTCCTTTTATGAAATGTCCGCATAATGAATTGTCTTCTGTAAAAAGTTCTTTCTCTGAAATATTCCTGTCCAAGAAATATCCTATCAATCAACTGTCTTTCTATAAAATGTCCCAACACCGTCATTTTTTTTTCACTCTTTAAAGATCTTGCATTAAATGTTGTCAGGTGTAGTGATATAAATCAAAAAATAAAATGTGGCAAATCGAATGGCAATCGATCAAGTAAATGTCTTAAATCTAAAGAAACTTTATTCTTAAAAAGCAGCAATATTTCACGAGCATTTAATGGTTCAAGCGTGGTTTTAAGACCAGAAAAACAATACTTTAACACAATTTTTCACTAAACTAAGCAAGTAGGAGTAGGTCAAATATGCCTATTATAGGCCGGTTACTGTAAAAAGTCTGACTGCGCCATCAAAGATAAAACCAAGCCGGCAAAAGATAGGATCGGATGGGTAGTGCTGGGTCGACTATGCTCTGGGTAGTCCAATGAATGCATGTACAGTACATGTTGTACCAGCTTGGATCAAGCAACTTTTACAGTAGTGTGCGCGAAGGTCGGTATAGGGGTCAGTTCGATTTAGATTCAGATTGACCCTAGTCCACCGTGATATTATGTAAATAATGTGAAAAGGATGTTTTCAAACAGTGTAATATTGTTATCAAAGAAAAATATTTTCTGGTCATATTTCAAATTGATTTGCTAGAAACAAATCTTAAATTCTAGAAGCTTAGATTAAAAAGAAATATATTACTTTCCCCAAACTCAAATTGTTTACAAAGCTCATATTTTTTCAACCTTTTTTCCAAATTCCAAACAATCAAAATATCCTGAAATTTTGAGCTCGCCAAATCATGTTCTAAAAAACTTTCGGGGTGAGAGACTTAAAACAATTTTTTCCTCCCTCCAAAAATATGAAATATATCATGGTTTAAAACAATAGTCACATTAATTGCAGAGAAAAGATTATTGTGTGGCGAGTAATCAGAAAATGATTTTAAGTTTTGTTTTCCAACCTCATAATTTGTCAATTGGTGAATAAAAACTGATGATAATTTTACCAATATACAGCAAAGTATATAAATATAAAACAATTTAATTTTATTATTTACTTTAAGTATTGAATTAAGCAAATAATCAATAATAAATTGAACACAAATTTTGCATAATGCTAAATTTCAACCTGAAATATAATTGATGTTGTTAATATTTAAAAAAGTTTAATCTCATATTTTGATTATTGTCAAGCTAAAAAAGTGCTGCTGCATTTGCTGCTTTGCTGTAGTTGCTGTTTTATTAGAATGAATGTAGGAAATAAAAAATAAAAAATTGTTTACTCCCTTTTAATTAAAATCATTGACCAATGATTCACCCAACAGAGATATGCTGCGTTAAGTAGCTAACTGTCCCTTGGGAGGACTAAGTAAATAACAGCTTTTTTATCAAATCGCGCATTTCATGTCACACCCAATTACTTTTATTGGTAAATTAAAATTTTGACTTAACCACAGGTTCCTTTGTCCTCAAAACATCCAGATCTTAGGCATTTGGTAAATTTCCCAGATACCCAAGCATTCGGGAGATTTCCCAAATGCCTATAGGTATTTGGGAAATTTCCCAAAAAACCTAGGCATTTTGATTTTGCTCTTTATAGAGTTGAAATAGGAAAGTGTGGTACATTTCAACTGTTTGCAAGGCAAGAGCTAAAAAACTTTCATGATTGGAGTGACAGGGAAGTTTAAACAAAATTCAAAGTTAGTAGTTACGTCTTACAAACTTGAAAAGCACAGAGGGAGTAACAAAATAAAGGATTGGTTTTGTATTACATAGGACTAAAATCATATTTTTAGAGTTCCATGTTTTATGGGGAAAACATTGAAATAAAATACTAAATATTATTTGGAACATTGTAAAATATTCTGTAAAGTTAGTTAGTCTTTTTACTTCAGAAATCAATTAACAATTTTGTGCAATTGTACTAAGAACTTTTTCCAGAGTTTTGTAAAATACTTTTATTTGTCAATAGATTTTAATAAAATTTTGGAACAGAATGGCCTAAATATTTTCCAATTAATAATAACAAAAAATTGCCATCTCCAAAAAAAAATCGGTCGTTCCATAAAAAAAAGACTGTTTTTTCGAAATATTTTGAAAAATTCGTTTGTTCAGTAAGAACCTATATTTTTTTCATTTTCGTTCTACCCAAAGATTTAGAAATCGTTAATAAACGATCAAGATTGTTCGAACGATTAAGATTGAACCTAAAATGTTAGCTTTTTTGTTCGTATCTCTGAATGATTATGTTGTTCATCCATCGTTAGTTTTTTTCTGAATGAAAAATTCATGAAAAATTTCGTTCATTCACAAAAAATACCCATCTCTAGTTTCCACAACTATATTTCAATGGATATTTTATTTTTAGTTTTTAAATCTGTTATAGGACAACTAAAAATAGATTTTTTTTTTAAATGGTTCCGCAAAACATGACGTAAGGTCCAGCAAAATAAAAACAAGCAAGACAAAATAACAAATAAATATATATAAAACTTTAAATTAGACTGAGGGTTTAATTATAATGTTTCAAATACAATTCATTTCAATTACAATCATTTACAGTGAAACAACTGCTTTATTGGAAAGTTAAAGGGACTGTAAGGGTGATTTCAAGTGAATCTCCATGTTCACAACCGAACCCTTAAAAGTGCTGTCTAATCAATTAATTTAAACATTATCAATGTTCATTAATGTTTAATACTGATTATTTTCAATTGTGTTTTAAGTCGGAACGTGCCCAGTAAAATAGAAGATTTCTCATAAAAGTATTTGGGGACAATTTTATTCTTTCGAGATAAAATTTGCCGGAATTTTTAAAGAAAATTTCACAGGGCGGGATGATATTCTTAATGTTAAGTTGGACAGTAAAGGAATTGCTGGGTAATCATGGATCAGTGATCTTGGTTCAAAGTCGATCAAAAAGGAGAAAATTAACAATATTTTTTTAACTTGAAATTAGTTTGAATATGAAATTAATCTTGAAAAGCTTAGCTTAGCATTATTTGACATCATTGTTTATTTTGTTATTGAATATTTTCTTAATTTAGTCCTTTGAAATTAATACTGAATTTAATTTGTATCAAATTTATATAATTTACAGTACATTGTTTACTCAACAGTTGACAAATCATCAGGTTGGAAAACTAAACTTTAAAGAAATTTCTAATTACTCGACTCTACTTGGGATGGATTGTTTTTAATTTTTACTTTACTGAAACAAACGAACTAATCGTATAAACTAACGATGTATTAAAAAACGAAAACGAAACGATCGTTTTAAAATCATTTTAAAAACAATAATTTTTTAGAATTAAAAAATCAAGTGGTTGTTTTATCTTTCGTTAACAAAGGTTGGCTGTTTTCGGGTTTGTTAACTGGCTAGGGGGGGGGGGCCTTTGACGACCTCCCCCTCCACCAGTTTTTTTGTGCTAACACACTCATTTTCGACACGCTATCACCTTGAATTTTATTCACATTTAAAGGATATTAATTAAAAGGATTTTTTGCAACTTTTTCTTTTAATGCATTGCATAGAGTGAAAAGGCTGTCAGTGTTAAAAAACCTAATTAAAGCCATACATCTAAATACTACATTCTTAAAAAGCCCTTGAAAATTGGATGTAAAAACATGTGTCATTTCTTTAAACTTGTCAAAAAAAAATTATGTTCCTTTTTTCGACATTTTTTTCATAATTTCCTTGCATCCAAACTATTTAAGTCTAATGTTTTCCAATGAACAGGTGAAACGCCCCCCTCTGGCTATACTGTTGTCAACCATTAACTATGCTCCGTGTAAAGTCGTCTTTAACTTAGATCCCCTCTCGGAGACACCAAAACCAAACCAAACAATTTTAACCTCCTTTTTCTTTGTTCTCCCTGTCGGAGTATAAACAACCCAGAGCGTTGTGAGTCCATTTTCAACAGCTAAACATAGAATATTTTCATATGAAGAATTATTGCCTTTCGTTAATAATTAAATTGTCATTTAGTTCAGAAGTTTAAAACATGTTTAAGTACTGTTCAATTATTGATAACCCGTTTCATCAATTATTATATCGTAAGAATTTTTTCATTATAAACATTTATTATAATATTTGTTCAAGTTAACTATGCATGTAATTTTTAAGGAAAAAAATATAATCTTTGTTATTGGTGTTTTTGAGACGGGGGTTCAACATCTTCATCTTGAGTTTCTTGCTATACATCCGTCAACAACTGTTACTGTATATATAGATTCAGATCTCCAAGCCTTTTTAAGGTTAACGATCGTTAATGACCATTACTGACCCTACCATCGTTAACGATCGTTAACAACATACTCTTTTTTAAATGTTGCAGAGCTAAAAAAAGAAATGTTAAATTTTTATCGATTTTTTTACAAGTTTTACAGACTAGCAGTCACACTCACAAACTCATAAATGTAAGAAAACCTTTTAACTTTTCTTGCTTAAAAAAATCAAATCTTTTAGAATACAAATTTCAACAAGGAAAATTTTTTTTAAATTTTTTAAATTTTTTGTTGTTGTTTAAAAGATCTAAACAAACAATTCGTTAGTTAAAATACATTCGTTTTTTCTTATTCGAAGGCTCATTAGTTATGATAAATCAAAAACGAAACAAAAAACTTTGACAATTTTTATTTAGTTTAAAACATAAAGTGGTAAATAAGCTTTATTTTTTTAATTGCCGTACATTAAGAGTTGGAATCAAATACCCATATTTTGAAAAGCTCAGAAATTGCAATATCTGTAAATTAGTAAATTTTATTGATGTTCAGATTTATGTTGCACGCTTTAAATACTTAAAAAAAAAAACTGAGGACGATTGGTCCATGATTTTCTATATAATAACGCTCTTCCCTCATATAAATATATATATTTAAGCATATATATATGTTTGCTTTAGCTGGTTAAATGGCTGAACCAAATTGGCTGACATTTTCTAAGGAAACCCATGGGTATCCTGGTGGTAAAATAAGCTAAAATATTCAAATATTTTTTTTTCTCTCAAAAATAATTTTTTTTTCTTTAAAATTTGAATTTTTTTTCATTTCACGGGCAATGCCGGGCACTTCAGCTAATTTAGGAATAAAATTATTATTTTAAGGATGAAGACTTTTTATGTGCTCTTACTCCTGGTTCTATGTTCTGTTGCTCTAACCTCGGGGAAAAAATTCCTAATACAAACCATGGTAGGATTCTTTAATTTGTTCTAAGCTGTTGGGATGCTTTAAAGTCGAATCTGTTTAAAAATTGATGTTTCCGAGTTGATAAACTGTGGTCTTATTAGTGTTTTGCATCACAAATCATTTGAAAGCTTGGAAAATGGTCAAAAATAGAAATAAAGATTTATTGAAACAAATGAAATTTTTCAGGATACTCAGCCTCCTCCACCTCCACCTCTGAAACCTGGGGATGGAACTGGGAATGGAACAACGGGAGAAGATTACATTCTGGAATTGTTTGGTTGGGGGGTTGCATTGGCGTTATTTGGAAAATAATGTGATAATAACATGCATCAATAAATTCTGGTTTTGGGTCATTTAAAAAAAAAACAGTTATGATTCTGTACAAAATAAAAATTTCTTTTTATAACAGAAGCACAGGCCCAGGAATGGGTTAGGTTATTATACAAAACTTCTACAATCCAAACCAAACTTCCGTAAAAGTATTTTTATTGTAAACAGGAAGTTTAATTTTCTTTATTGGATATTATTTCTATGTAAGGAAGTTAAGTTTGTTTTGAATTAAATTACTTGGATACATATGTTTTTCAACCAAAAATATAACCATGTTTGACTAAAATATAATCATTTTCAAACTAAATATATAACTATTTTTTTTCAACCCAAAAAAGCTGGCCATAATCCAATGAGATTTTTTTTAGAAATACAATTAAGAGTTTGCCGAGTTGTTCAATTTATGCCTTATAAAAAGTTGAATTGTTTACTAACTAAGCACTTCTAATAACGAAAATCAATTACTATTAATGTGAAAATAATACAACTGTAAATTTCATGAAAGGAAAACCATAAAATGCGAGGAAGGGGGTGTAGAGGCGCCATGAGCCCCGCAATAATGACTTCCCAACCTCCAGATTTGCAGAATTACCTCCAGGCAACACAAAATCGTCTCCCTGCCTTTCCCTATGTTTCCGAGCCTCTGCATTTTGTCTCCGCGTCCCGAATTTTGGTTTCAAATAAAAAATATTTGGCATTTAAATCCACTAAAAACCTTTTTTTCGAAAAATGATATGATAAAATAGTTTATAATGATACAATAACAATTTGTAGGACTATTGTAGTTGTGTATAACGATGGACAAATTTTATATTATTACCAGGGGTTTCATGTACGAATCAAACGTTATCAAACAAAAAAATCGTTATTTTAATAATTTCTTAGACATTTGACAGATGCGACTTCTGACATTTGCGGCAATTTTATGCATGAGACATTTGATAAGTAAAACAATTTACATACAGGGTGTCCCAAAAACATGGGAATTCAGTGACGAATTCGATATCGTCTTTGTTATGAATGAGCATACAGAACAGTGTCATTACANCCGGTTGTACTTAGTAAAACAAGAAAATTACAGTATACAAACAGAGTAAACTTGTCCGTATTCACTGTTCATCTTGCGGAGACATTATAAACACATCTTTACAGTCTTTTACCCTTTTCATTAAATAAACTCTAGCAGACATAATAATATTACAGCTTTTGAAATTAGGTATTACAATGCTAATTCATAACAAAGACGATATCGAATTCGTCACTGAATTCCCATGTTTTTTGGGACACCCTGTATATGACATTTGACAGATTCAATATATGACGCATGCGATGTAACATAAGAACAACTTCTTATTTACCTAAACTCAATTTTGCAGAAAAAAAAGAATATCAATTGAATATTTTTGGTCAGACAAAGATTTACAAGATAACATGTGAGTCGTGTTTAGTAAAGAAAACATTCATTAATAATTCAGTTTATTTTTATGTTTTAGGGTTTAGGGTTTAGGATTTAGGGTTTAGGGTTTAAGGTTTACGGTGTCTGAAAATAAAATGATCTTCTATAAAATAATGTGTACTGCATTTTCTGGGAGAAGAACTTAGCTTGGGCAGAGAAGAAACTACGCATCAATTACATTCAAGGTTGAAATTTAGCATTATTCAAAATTTGTGTTAAATTTATTATTGATTATTTATTATCTAGTCGGGGGTGGGTGGGGGGTGTTAAATTGACCATCCCTCTCTATAGTTTCTAATTAACTGGACAATCTCCTGAATACGTTTTTAATGTTCCTTCTATTTCGTTTGTTTTCTTATTGAACAACCGCTTAGCAAAATTGTTAATTCAGTAAAATCTTTTGTTTAGTAAACTCGTTTGTTCAATATGATTGTTCTTTCAGTTAAAAAGAACAATAGTTTTTTCAAAAGTTTCTTCGCAAAAATGGTTATCTTTGTAAAATAAATATCTTTTAGAAAAAGTTTTTTTTCCCCAAAAAAATTGTTTGTTTAGTAAAAAACGATCGTTTTATTGTTCAATTTTTTTAAAAGATTCATTCGTTCAGTAAAAGATGATTGATTTTTTAAGTTCGTTCGTTGATTTATTAAAATCAATAATTTGTTTTCGTCCATGGTAAAAAGCCACATGTGTTTTTATTTCTTTGAACGATCAAAGTTGTTTGTTTATTGTTCGTTTTTTTTTCTGAACTAAACCATCGTTTACAAAAAATTTCCCGGATACCCAGGCATTTGGGAGATTTCCCAGATACCCAGGCATTTGGGAGATTTCCCAGATACTCAGGCATTTGGGAGATTTCCCAGATACTCAGGCATTTGGGAGATTTCCCAGATACCCAGGCATTTGGGAGATTTCCCAGATACCCAAGCATTTGGGAGATTTGAGGGTGGTATATTTGTAAAATTTTGTAAATGTTTCAAAAGAATGAATATTTAGGGAATATCCCAAAAACCTAGGCATTTGGGAAATTCCCCAAATGTTTCGCAAATGCCTTGATATCTTGGAAATTTCTCAAATGACTGGATATTTAAGGAATTTCCAAAAAAACCAGTCATTTGGGAATTTTCCCAGATACCCAAGCATTTAGGAGATTTCCCAAATGCCCATAGGTATTTGAGGGTGGTATAATTTAAGATTTTGGAAATTTTTCAAATGAATGAATATTTGGGGAATTTCCCAAAAGCCTAGACATTTTTATTTTGCTCTTTATAGAGTTGAAATAGGAAAGCGTGGTACATTTTTACTTGTTTTCAAGACAAGAGCTAAAAACTTTCATGATTGGGGTGACAGGAAAGTATAAACAAAATTCAAAATTACGCCATATAAACTTGAAAAGTACAGAGGGAGTAAAAACATAAAGGATTAGTTTTGTATCATTGATGTTTTATTTTTGAAGATTTTGTGCATTTTAACTAATAACCTTTTCCAGATTTTTGTAAATTTTTTTTATTTGTTAATTGATTTCAATAAAATTTTGGAACAGAATTGCCTAAATATTTTCCAATTAATAATAACAAAAATTGCGATCCCTGCAACAAAGTCGTTCGTTCCATAAAATACTATAGTTATTGGAAATATTTTGGAAGATTTGTTCGTTCAGTAAGAACTTTATTTTTTTCATTTTCGTTCTACCGAACGATTTAGAAATCGTTATGAAATGTTCAAAATCGTTCAAATGATCAAGATTGATTTTAAAATGTTCGCTTTTTGTTTGTGCCTCTGAACGATAGATATCGTTCATCCATCGTTAGTTTTTTTCTGAATGAAAAATTCACGAAAAATTTCGTTCATTCACAAAAAAATGCCCATCTCTAGTTTTCACAACTATATTTCAATGAATATTTAATTTTTTTGACACAGTTCCGAAAAACATGACGTAAGGTCCAGCAAAATAAAAACAAGCAAAACAAAAATATAAATAAATATATATACAACTTTAAATTAGACTGAGGGTTTAATTATAATGTTTCAAATACAATTCATTTCATTTACAATCATTTACAGTGAAACAACTGCTTTATTGGAAAGTTAAAGGGACTGTAAGCGTAATTTTAAGCGATCCTCCATGTTCACAACCGGATCCTTAAAAGTGCTGTCTAATCAATTAATTTAAACATTATCAATGTTCATTAATGTTTAATACTGATTATTTTCAATTGTGTTTTAAGTCGGAACGTACCCAGTAAAATAGAAGATTTCTCATAAAAGTATTTGGGGACAATTTTATTCTATCGAGAAAAAATTTGCCGAAATTTTTAAAGAAAATTTCACAGGGCGGGATATCATCTACTTAATGTTAATTTGGACAGTAAAGGAATTACTGGGTAATCATGGATCAGTGATCTTGGTTCAAAGTCGATCAAAAAGGAGAAAATTAACAATATTTTTTTAACTTGAAATTAGTTTGAATATGAAATTAATCTTGAAAAGCTTAGCTTAGCATTATTTGACATCATTGTTTATTTTGTTATTGAATATTTTCTTAATTTAGTCCTTTGAAGTTAATACTGAATTTAATTTGTATCAAATTCATATAATTTACTGTACATTGTTTACTCAACAGTTGACAAATCATCAGGTTGGAAAACTAAACTTTAACGAAATTTCTAATTACTCTCTACTTGGGATGGATTGTTTTTAATTTTTACTTTACTGAACCAAACGAACTAATCGTATAAACTAACGATGTATAAAAAAAAACGAAAACGAAATGATCGTTTTAAAATCCTTTTAAAATAAATAATTTTTTAGAATTAAAAAATCAAGTGGTATTTTTTATCTTTCGTTAACAAAGGTTGGTTGTTTTTGGGTTTGTTAACTGGCTGGGGGGGGGGNCACTCTCATTTTTGACACCACTATCACCTTTACAATTTTTTTTACTTTTAAAGAATATTAGTTAAAAGGATTTTTTGCAACTTTTTCTTTGAGTGCATAGGGTAAAAAGGCCGGTCAGTGTTAAAAAAACCTAATTTTAGCCATACATCTAAATACTACATTTTTGAAAAGCCCTTGAAAATTGGATGTAAAAGCATGTGTCATTTCTTCATATTTGTCCAAAAAAAAATATTTTCCCTTTTTTTGACATTTTTTTTCATAACTTCCTAGCATCCTAGCATCCTAGTCTAATGTTTTTCAATGAACACTTGAGACGCCCCCCTCAGACTATCAGTATACATAGATTTAGATCCCCAAGCCTTTTTAGGGTTAACGATCGTTCACGACCATTACTGACTCTACCTTCGTTAACGATCGTTAACAACATACATTTTTTTTAATTTTGCAGAGCTATAATAAGAATGTTAAATTTTTTTTTACACTCACAAACGTTGAAAACAAATGTAAGAAAACCTTTTATCTTTTCTTAATTTTTAAAAAATCAAATCTTATAAAATAGAAATTTCATCAAATACAAATTTTAAAAAAGATAGTTTTTTGGATACTTTTTTTCATGTTTTTGTTGTTTAAAATATCTAAACAAACAATTCGTTAGTTTAAATACATTCGTTTTTTCTTATTCAAAGCC